GATGAATCGAGAGTTGTGTAAACACTTTCAGATTGAATATTTTGGTTGTTCACTCCAAAATTCAATCGGATAAAACTCGAAAGTATCAAGAACGAAATATGAGAATCGCTGTGTCTGAAACCGAACGAAATTCGACCATGCCCAGGGGAATTTTATAGACTAGGGGTGAGAAGGAGAAGACACCATTCGCGGCTATTACCCAAAGCACGCAACTCTTCGCGCGGAAGTTTCTTCTTCAAAATTCGGTCCTAGCCAGGGGCTCTGCCCCTTGGACCCCGCAGGGGCTGCCGCCCCTTGAACCCTGCTCGGGGGCGCTGCCCCCGAACCCCTGCCAAAGGGGCGCTGCCCCCTTGGAACCCCCGGTGTAACGGGTTTTATATCGTAACAAACTCAATGAAGCGTGCACTCCGCACCTCCAAACTTCTTTGATGATTATTAGGATACCATTAGTCGTAGTTTTTCCAATTACACTAAAATATATAACATGACAGTGGGTCATGATCATGTAATTTCTCAACCCGAATACAAACTTACCCGAACTCGAAGTAACCCAAACCCGACCTGACCGACCGATTTGCTAGCTCTATAGATATCCTTCTCAAACATATGAGGTTAATGTTTTGTGAAAAAAGTGGTGTTAGTGTAAAAGGTGGTGCACATAAAGCAATTTTCATTTATTACATTATTCCTTGTCTAGTACTCCCTCCATCCCATAAAAATATTCTGGAATTGATTTTTACGGAGTTTAGTAAAAAAAGTGTTGAAAAATGAAAAGCGAGGAGCGGTTTTTGTGTGAGAGAGGGAGTACTATGTAAATTGAACTAGTATTTGGAATCCCTCAAATCTTACTTCCAAGTAGTATATAGTCATATGCTTGGTTTGACATACTCCATATTTTATTAATGCTTCATTTTGGCTTCTGATGCTATAACCAGGTGTTTTTGCCACAAGAATACAATTGACATGGGGTATATATGCTCAGTTTGTTTGTCCATTTTCTGCCAGCATCAAACACAATGTTCCACATGCGGGTAAGTTTGGGTCATAATTTTATCATCAGTTTGTTTGGGTAGAGCATAGTTGTGATGCGCCAGGAGTAGTGCATCGCCAACCTTGATGCGCGCACTGTTCCTGAGGCGCGCGCCTTACTGTGCCTCGTCGCAATATGCGCAGTGTATTGATGCGCAAAGAGGTGCGCCTTGTAAACATATGTTTTTTATTGTTATTTTTTTTATTAATTAGGTTTAGGGATTGGCGCTATTATTTATTACGACTCACCCCTCCCAACTTTTACGATCCCAAGGAGATTAAACGGCATACCTAGTGGGCAAATTAAACGATTGTTCTCTTTCTTTTATTTCTTCGATTCAAGTAAGACTCTTCCTCCCAGTCTCGCAATTAAACGATTTAAGTCGGCTCTCTTCCTTACGATATTTTCTCTCTCATTGGTTTCTCTTTTTTCTACTGGGCAAGTCCTCTGTTTTTCATTGGTTTTTTATAAACATATTGTTCTCTGATTTTTATATTATTCTGTTTTTTAAACATTTGTTTCTTAACCCCTCTATTATGCTTTTCATATATATATATATATATATATATATATATATATATATATATATATATATATATCTGTGTGTGTGTGTAAAATTACTAATGTAGATATACTAGATATATCTGTGATGTGCATCGGTGCGCATCACGCCTTAAATAACTATGGGGACATGGGGTAGAGTTATACTCGCTCTGGCTACCACAAAATTCTCTTGTTCACTATTCATGTAGTCAAACATTGACCTGTTTCTTTGCCAGTTTTCACTACACATGTTATAAAATAATAATACCTCTGTCCCGGAAAATCTTTTCTACACAAATTGTGAAAAATATATTTAGTATTAATGTGAATTCTATATAATTGGATTCATCTTAGGATATAGTTTTGATGTATCAAATTTTTAAAACATTTGTTTATTCAAATTATACTTAATTTGTGGTAAAAAAAGAGTCAAAACATGAAAGATTTTTCGGGATAGAGGTAGTATAACTGTGTCACCGCTCGATGGACATATCGGGCTTGCCACCTGGGTCCATGGTGCATGGGCTTAGGTTAGGAGTCTACAGCAAGGGCCCAAGGCTTTGGGCCTAACACCAAGGTGGGTCTCAACTACCCTCGAAAAGGGTAGTGCACCCTGTGTGGTTTATCCATGGCCTTACTGGGCAAGGTTGGGCCTGGCCCATATGATAGAAATGAATAAATATCTCCTCCAATTAATGAATGGGAGGATTCTAGTTTTTTTCTATTGCAATCACCTCTAGCTTTGTAGAGGCTTTGATGTGGTTTTCAAATATATATTTTTTCGTCCTATAATATCTTCTTACTTTCTTATTTTGGTTGTCAAAAAAAATCCGTCTTTCTTTTTAAGGAAAGAGTTGAGTGGTTATTATCATTTCTTTTTTCTCCACAAAAACTGCAACTATATACAGAATAAATTTCACTTTGTTAAAATTGTGAAACTAAATAGAAAATTATTGGACGGAGCGAGTAATTTATTGCCTTCGTTCGAATAATTGTCTCACTTTCTTTTTTAGTTCTTCACAAAATAATTGTCACACTTTACTTTCTTAATAAAGTAAAGAATATGTGATCTACAATCTTTTCTCTTTCCTCCAATTAAATTTCAAGTACCTATTCCGTATTTTTATTTTTCAACACTTATGAATTCCGTGAACTCAAACTAGGATGATTAATTCGAATGGAGGCAGTGTTTTTAAATCTTATACCATTTTTTATATCAATTAAATTGAAATAAAACACTCAAACTGGGAAAGTCTTTTTAGAATAGAAGTATTTGGTATTCCCCAACCTTTCCTTAAAGTCGTCGACAGCGGTCAAATATGTCATCTGTTTTTAACTTTGAATTGATTAATTTGAACCACTAATTTGCTAATGTTGTTATTTGTGGGACCCAATACAGATCGGTCTTTGGCAAGACTCGAGCAGCGGTTGAACCTGCATCGTGAGATGATAAGAGAGATAGCCATGCCTAAAAAAAGAGAAGATATATGTCTCAAGGGGTTAATTAATTGAAATGTTTAATGTTCTTCTCTCTATCTGTCTAGTAAAGCTTGGTTGGGAACAACTTCGGTATTTTGAAGAAAAAAAAATCTATTGAACATCATATCGCGGCAGTGTTTTCAAAGTTAATTACGAGTATATTGTTAAAATCTTGTCCCAAACGGTGATGTTAATTGAAAATAATGTTTCCAAACAATCCCAAAGAGGAGAACATATGAAAGATATTTGATAAATGATTAGTATTGAAAGACCATTATAACTTCGGCACGGTTCTGTTGACATTGACATGTACTGTTAATGAATGACACTTGCTCATTTGGAGCTCTTTCGGTGTTCGTAAAATTGATAGTTCATGCTAATTCTCTCCCAAAACATCCACCGAACCCAACCCCATCTCGACACCTGCGCTCCTACACATTTGGAGGGATAGAAGGTGAGTCTAGGGTGGGGGCGGTGGGGGTTAGAAGGTAAGAATTATAAATTTTGTATTTGGGGCATTGGAGGAGCGCCAAATGAGAAAGTGTCACTTGTTGACACTGAATACCTGTGTCAATAGAACTTTACTGTTAATTAAATAAAAAAATTATACGAGTAATAGATAGTAGTACAAATTAAGAGTAATAGGAAAGTACGAAACTATTTTAATTTTTCATATTATGCTTTTACCACATTTACTTTTTCTAGTTTATTTACTATCCATTATCCATACTTTAGCTAGGAATCTCTATTATTATCTTTATAATTCAATAATACTAATTATTACTGTAACAAATTACTCGTATATTATCTTGTCGGAGTTAGAATATTTTTCTCAAAAAATTGTCTGCGTGCCTAACAGGCGTAACAACCACCACCAATCTCGATGAGCATGCCAAGTTGACGTCGTCACTTCTTCTTTTTTCTATGCAAAAAAGAGTTATGTACGTGCCCCTCTAAAATATCATGTATGTGTTCGGAGGACGTGAATGTTGTACTCCCTCCGTCTTATAATGATCTTCCCGATTCGCAAAACGAAGAAAAATCCGAAGTTTTTTCAATCTATTTTATTTAAATATTGGTATATAAATAAAAAATAAAACATACATATTTAAAAACTACATCAAAAGTTCAACAAAACAAGTGGTGACAAGAATATTTTATTTTATCATATAAGCCATGAAAAAACACAAATGCATATAAATTTCCGTGAAGTTGGAATAGTGCTCTGGGAAGATCATTATAGGACGGAGGGAGTATTTGTCTATGTTTTCTTCTATAAGACGAGAGAATGAGAAGCGGTAGTGAAGTAGAGAAATTGGCCCAAGAGGAGAAGAAGAAACTTATCGTCCTCGCGCCAATTGTAAAATCTCGTTGAAACAAAAATCATCCAACACACTCTCAAGCAAATTTATCATGGGACTAATATCGTCTCTCCTTCTGGCTGCCGTTCTTACAAATCCAATTCCACCAACTCTGTTTTAGTGTTTGTGTTTCAAGCTACCCCTCATTATCGATAATCAACTTGCAGAAATAATAGAAGCGTAGCTTAGGGGTGTGCTTTATTCGGTTCGGACTCGGATCGACCCAAAGCCTGGTCAAAATCGGACTGGACCGGTCCTTTTCCGGCCAGGTCTTTGATCCTCTAAAATCTCTTATTTGGTTCTGGTCTGGCCCACCAAATTTGGGTCCGGACTTGTGGACCAGTCAAACTTTATTTTTTTTAAAATTTTTTCCTATATAATAATATAATATAACTAATGAAGTTTTTTCTTATATTTTGCTCATGTTACAATAACTTTAAGACTAATTCAATGCCACTCGTATTTTTTATCATATCTTTTTTAAATAGTCAATTTAAATAAAATAGGAATTCTATTAATGTTTTTTCTTACAAATTATGTTACTATATTTTTAAGACTAATTGAGTGTTACATTTTCACTTTATATCACAAACATAATTTTTTTGTGAGAAGAATAAAAGAACTTTTTAAACATTTTTTACATCCTTTTAAAACGATGTCTTTTACTATTTTTATTTAAAAAAAGATATATGTAAGATTTGAATGTTGGGTTGTGATCCACAGTAGTCTCTAAAGCATCTTTGTCCTCATCCAGTGTTGTACGGAGAACTCCAGTAGTATTATTGTTGACTTTTAAGTTTACTTTTTAAACAACATGAATGGTTTAATTATATTGTTGATACTATGTCAAAAATTTTAATTTTTAAATAATGGTGGTTGATACTATGTTAAAAATTTTAATTTTTAAGTAATGGTAATTATAAATTAGTAATATTTATACTTTTTTTACAAGTGGATTTTTAAATTAAATAGATAAAATTAATTTTTTAAAAAATAAGAAGTAATAAAAAGCTTAATTCGATCTTGTCCAGGTTTTACCAATTTGGTCTTGGGCCGGTCATTATCTTATTCGGGTTGGCCTCTAGTCTAAGAAAAGTGCCTTATTCGGTCTCGGTTCGGGCTGGTTAGTCTGATCGGGTTTGGACCGATGCACACACCTAACTGAGCTATAGGAAATTACTAAATTATTCATGTTTTTCATTTTACTCGCACGTATGTTCTTATCATATTTACTTTTTCTACTTTATTTATTGTTCCTACTTTAGTTAGGAATCCCAATGTATTCCCTATATATACCAATTAGACCTGTGCAAACAAGGGTCGGCCCGTTTGGCTCGCCCTTTAAAAAGGGCGGATATGGACAATCTTTAATACCCAAATGGGCGGGCCGGCCCAAGCCTGAATTGTATATGGGCAGATTTGGAAGTTACTTTTAGTCCATCTGGGCCAACAGGACCGCCCATATTCATCAAATATATTTAATTTATTAATAATTACCTAGCCAATATAAATTTTAAAATTTTCTATTATTCATGTATAATAGTTTAGTTCACTCACTTCTTTTAAACAAAAATCAATACTCTTCTAATGAATCAGTATGATGGGTTTAGTAATTATGCAACAATATCTCTATTATGATTTCTATATAAATGTGGTGACTGATTATTTAATTTTGAAGATTGAAAAAGAGTTCAATGTTTTTTTAAAATTTTTGTACAAAAAAATATTCTTGATGTTTTTTCTGGGCTGGGCTGCCCGGTGGGCAATCCGACCCGCAAAGATGGGCGGGTATGGGTAAAGAATTTAGCCTATCAAATATGGGCCGGGCTAGGCCCACCCATGTAAGTGGACTAATAATTTATATCAAGCCCGACCCAGATCCGGCCCGGATCCTTATTTGCACAGGTCTAATGTACTGGATGGTAGAAACTTAATAATTCAATAAAACCTAAATTACATGCATCACTAATAAATTTCATTAGATATGTCTTATATATTATCAAAAATTTATCATGTTGTACCAATATGGATTACAAATTTAATGTAATTAATGGTTACATCTCCTTAAATTTGCCATAAAAAGCTAAACTAGATGAAGATTCTAAGGGTGAAGGAGTATTTTTAAGGCAAATTCTTACGGCTCCTAAGGTCAATACTCATTTTATGGACCTAAGTTCGTTGATATCATAATTAAAGGATTGAGTCTTTCACAAAAAAAAAGATTCACTTTCCAGCTCACGAAATGTGTGAGAAAATTCACATGTCACACGTGAACCTTAAGATTCCGAAAGAACAACTCATTTTTTCATTGGGTACCATTCTTTTGATATCAAGCACTAAATATTCGCCTATTTTAGACACACACTACCTCTGTCTCAGAGTATTTGTCAAATTTTGATTTTTTGGCCAACTATTTTCAATTTTTGACCTATAATTAAATAAAATATATATTGTATATTAATTAAATAAAATAATACTTTGAAAATATTTTTATAATGAATCTAATAAAACTATTTTTATATTAATATATAATACTCCTTCCGTCCCAAAAAGAATGTTACCTTTCATTTTTTGCGCATCCCTTAAAACACTTTTATATCGTCTCAAATGCCAAAAAAACTTTCAAAACAATTTCATCTTATAATAAAGAGTAAATATAGTAAATTTTAGAATTTTTAGATGTGAGTAGCCGTGCTTTTTGTGATGCGCAAAAAAATGAAATGTAACATTCTTTTTGGGACGGAGGGAATATCATTTTTATTTAATTTGGAGTTAAAGTTTAATAATTTTGACTGGAAAAAGTCAATAGTGGATAAAAACTCTAGGATGGAGGAATGTATGCTACATTGTTGTACTCAAACCTACCACCATAAGTGGTGAACTAGAAGAGAAAATTGCTGCCTTGTCTTTGAGGATAATAATTTGATATTGGACTTATTAGATGAATGTATTGTCTCAAACATTGATAAAAAAATCACAACCTAAAACAACGTCTACCTAATTGCAGTAAAGTCAAACCCCACGGAATAAGACTAATCGCCGTTTAATTTTCAGCCGTTTAATTCCACTCTACCATGGCGGGCACGTAGGAACTGACCGAAGTTTGGGCCAAATAATTGGATGGGGACAGTTTAGTCTTTGCACTTAGTTTTTAATATTATTTTTTCAAATGTATTAAAAGGGACCAACAATGTAACGTTTTAAATTGGTTAGAGGTATTTGATGCACCTTTTAATATTCAGAAATAAACCTAATCATGCAATTTTTAAAGAATTCAGGGGTAATTTGTGCCCGCACTTTTCCCTTTAATATTTAGTTGAACAATTTCTTTAGAGTGATCTTTTACGAAGTACACGCTAATAATATTAAAATATTTTAGTTGGCTCTAAAAAAATTGATTTTATTTCAGTTTTACGTAAAACGAAACAATATATCAAATTTTTTCAATTCATTTTATTTAAAGATAGGTATAGAATATTTTATTTTATCAAATAATCAATTAAAATGCATAAATAAACAAAACTTTCTGTGATTATTGAAATTGTAAAGAGTGTAATTCATTTTAGGATGGAAGGAGTATTTACAAGTACGTACTTTAAAGTTGTTGTTGTATGAAACAACGTTTTTCTAATTATTTTCAATACACTTTACCTTTTATATATAAAAGTATCTAAAAAATTAAAACAAAACAAAAAAGAATTGTAAAACCCAAACCGCCAAAAACCAAATTGATAAACCAAAGGTTCACATATTTTTCGTGAAACCGAACCATCAAACTTTAACTTTTTGTGTAGTTTTCGGTTTTGGTTAAAAACAAAAGAGGAAAAACCATATTCAACCCTAGAAAAAGGGAATGAA